CTTTTATTATTTCAGATTCTAGTGGAAAATGATAGTTTATGCTTTTCTTATGCCCGTTTATTACTTTTTATAATTCTTTACTGAATTTTTTTCCTGCTCAAAAATAATTTTATATGCTTTTTATAGTATTTTTTATTATTTTGAGTTCAACCATTTTGAAATTTGATTTTTGAAAGTATTTTAATATAAGATTACAAAAAAATTGGACTCCCCTAATGCGTTGTAGTATTCAATAAATAGTCGATTACGGGCGGAAATTGAACAGTTAAGCAAACGGAAGTGAAAGCAATTGTTGACCTTTGAAAATGGTACAGCATATACAATACCGTTATGTAGCAGCAAAGTGCTGAATTTATGATATTTACTGTTTCTTGCACAAACTCTATAAGCTAAGTGCTGAGACACTGGTTAGGTTAATTATTTAATTTTTAGGCGCTATGATTTATGTTTTTTGTTAATATATATTTTTAATTTTTTGTTTTTTAATAATTTAATAAATTTTTAAATTTATTATTTTAGGTTTTTTTTAGCTCCAAATTGACAATTGAGGGACTAACTCAAGTAACATGAAAATTAATGATTATTTTTTTAATACGCACTATTTTCTCATATAGAAGAGAGGAAAGCAAAATAGTGGAAGGGAGAGGAAGAGAGTAGTAGAAAGTGATAGAAATAGTGTTAGTTATAGTGAAATGCTGTTAAACAGCGACTAGAAGTTACGCTACTAAACTAAATTTATTTTTTAATTTTGAATTTTTTTAATTAAACAAAATTGTATTACTAAACTTAAACTGGCGAATTGCAGAGAGCCCAATTCATGTAGCTTGCAGCTCTGCTTTAACTCTAATACCTACATTTTGGTAATTGACTAGATTATGTTTCGAAACCCAGAGTGACTACTAAACGACAAAAAAGGTAAAACTGAGCTCAGATATAAATTTATGGGCAACAGCAACAACAAACACAACTGCGCATTTATATTGCCATTAAATATACACAAATACATATAAACAACTTTAAACACATACATACAACAAACACACACACACATATACTACATTCACAAAATTTTGCCGCACACACATGTACATAAGTAATTGGAAAAAATGGAAAAAAAATCCAAAATACGCGCAAAAACACCGAAAAGTAGCGAAAGAAAGGCGAATGTATGGCGGAGAAACCATGAGAATTATTTAATTAGCAGAAAATTTACGAGTTGCTGTGTTATTTTGCATAAAGTAAGGCGCATCGCATTGAAGGCGTGAAGCCAATACCAATGAAAATGCCACTAACACACATGTTCACATATACGTACGTAGGTGTGTGTGAGTGCGCTTAATGGCAACGCAGTAAATTACACCACAAACACACACATTCACAAACGCATACATATTTAAATAACTCACATACTGCCACCATTCAAATTCTAAGCCCAGCAAACCACTGTACTCTGCCAGTCCGTCCGTCCGTCCGTTCAACTAGGCAACCACGCCACGCCTCTGCTCGCCTTGTCACGCTCGCAAATGCAAATTAGACACTGTGCTGCCAATTAAGTAAATCTGTTTCGACATTAAAAGAGTAGCGTTGATAGCGTACACTTGCCGGCAGCTACTCCCTACGGTATTTTTTCCAGCTTTTCGAGTGGGGTTGAGTCCTAGGCTGGGGGTGGGTGGTTGCGCGTATTTTTATTACTTGTACGCTGGTGAATTAATAGCGCAAAAACGTCTGTTGCACGTATGCTTCTATAAATGTTTGAAAATTTGTTGTTGTTTTTGTTCGTTGTTTAATGTTGTTGTTGTTATTTATTAAATGGTGATTTTAAAAAGCTAAAATATTGCTGGTGACGTGTTACAAATATGCTTTATGACCAAGCTAACTGGCATTTCGAGGAAGAGACAAGTGTGTGTGTGTGTGTAGAAGGGAGTATGTGTGAATATGTACTTATTGGGACGAGTGGGTATTGGCTGGTTGTGGAGTTTACTTGTGGATATCTAGACGGTTTTGGAAGGAAGTTTAGACAATGTAACTAGTGTAGAAAGTAGTTACATTTTAACTAATGCGTAATTAAGCAATGTAGTACATGAAGTATAACTAGTCCTGAAAGTTGTTATATTGTAACTTGTTAGAAAGTAGTTTATAGAATTTTAAAGAAATTTAGAAGCAAACACGTTAAAACATTATATTATAATCATAAAGTGGAACTGGTTTTGGAATTAGTTACATTGTAACTAGTCGGCTATTGAAATGTAGTTAAAAATTGTTAGTAGAAGATATTCCTGTTTTATATCTCTTTTGTGACAAATACTGTTTTGTGCTGTTTTGAAGTAGTTATGCAACTAGTTACTTCGCACCAAATCAGTCCATTTACTTTCATTTGCTTCAAATATTTTCTTGAAACTTGTTGATTTGTTACCTTAAATTTTTTTACAAAATAAGGAACTAGTTACGAAACTAGTTACTTTGGTACAGTTGAAATTTTCACCATTTTTAAAAAGCTAAATGACTCGTTTCCTGTAGTAAAGCAGTTAAGCATGATATTTAACCGCAACACTAATCAACTGGGCCCATCATATGGGACCTAAAGTATTTTCAGTACTTAAATAAATTATCAGGGAAGTTTTAATTTTTTGTCTAAGTTTCAAAACCTCAAAAGACTATAAACAGCAATTAAAGGAAAGTAAGAATTTCAGTTTGGCATGTGTAAAGTAAACACCTCAGTATGTAAGTATGTATATAATCACGTAAGTATGTAGGTACATGTAAAACAGATGCATCCAAATTTGTAAATATGTAACACATAATTGCGCAGAAATATAAAAATATCCAAACTTAAGTACGCACGTAATTACGTAAGTCTCTTAGCAAGTACTTAAGTCCATAAATATGTTTGCACGTTCACTTGCAAATAATACTTGCCTATAATGATAATGCTAATTTAAATTAACATTCCCTCGCATCCCTTATACGCACATAAACACACACCCATAAACACGCATACAAACAAGCACTTAACGGTATTGATGTTAATAATTTAATGGAAAAAACTTCTCCCTTGCTGCTTTTGCGTTTTAATTTCGGTTTCGGTTAAAAATTTCGTTGCTTTTTTAATGCTTTTGTGGTTGATTATTGCATTGCGATGCTGTATACTATCTAATTATGTATGTATGTATGTATATTAATAAATATTTATTAATGACTATTAAAATTTCAAATTGCTTTAGTTGCTAAGAATTGTAAAAAGTTTCTTCTCCTGTGCTTCTTCTTCCTTTTCTTATGGCCTAATTCGTTGTTTGCGAAACGTTGCTCTCGGGTTAACGGCAAAATGTTGGTTATTCGTTGCTTTTGTAAATCACGTTTGCGTTTTTACTTATAAGTATGTATGTATGTATTGAGTGCTTTATGAGATTTATTTTCGTTTTTGTTGCGGGTACTGGGATTTTATATTATTATATTGAATTAGTTGAATTTCTGCTTGAGGAATTTGTTATAAATATTTGTATGTGTAGGGTTGAGTGTTTGATTATATTGTAATTATTTTTTATTATTAAATTTTGAAAAATCTAGAAATTCAATAAGAAAAATATTTCCAAAATTTTAAAAATGTAATTGTTTTTTCTTTCAGTTTTCAGTTTCTATAAACAGTAATTAAAATTTATTTCAGTATGTCTAAAGAAAAAAAAATAATTTTTTAAATTTTTGAAAATTTTAAATTTAGCCCAAACACAGAGTTGATTTGTTGAATGTTTTCAAAATTGTAATTTTTAATATTGTTAATTAACTATTTGAATTTATTTTCCATGTTTCTAAACAAAAAATTTAATTTTTTAAATGTTTGAAAATTAAAATTTTTATTAATTAGTTAATTTTTGTTGAAAATTTTTAATTGTTTGAAATTATTTAAATTTTTCAATATTTTAAGTTTTGCTATTAATTTTTTTTTAATAAAAAAATTATCTAGGCTTTTATTGCTTGTTTGTGTGTGTTTTTCTTTATGTGTCTATACATATTTGTATGTATGTATGCCAGTGTGTGTTGTTGGCATTTTGCATTTGCTTTTGTTGTTGCGTTTTGTTTGTGGTCTCTGCGCTGCTTTCTGTTATGTTCACTTAAATCTAATTTTGCAATGGTTGTTGTTGTTGTTGTGAGGGTTTTAGTACTACTTTATAAATAAATAAATTACTCGTTTTATTATATTAGCTAAAGACTAGCTTAATACAGTTCTAACTGTATATATTTCGCTTATGACTTCTAATATTCTGCTTCTTCTTCTAGTTTACCCTATTAACTTTGTATATATTTATGTATTTATATGCATTTATCGAGTATTCTTATATACTTGTGGACGTTTTTGTGATGTTTCTTGTGTTCAGAGTGTGTTCAATTGTACAAATATACACTAAGCATAAATGAAATGATTAAAAAAAATTTAAT